ATAGGGGGTCCAGAACAATTTTCGAAAACACTTTTCTTTATTGGGGACCCCCGCACTAATCGGTTATCAGACATTAACCCCTAAATCTTAGGTCCTAAACCCTGAAACCTAACACCTAGACCCTAAACCCTAAACCCTATATCCTAAACCCTAAACCCTAAATCCTACAGCCTAAACCCTAACACCTAAATCTTAAACTTTAAGCCCTAAACCCCAAACCCTAAAACGTAAATCTTGAACGCTAAGCCCTACAACCTAATTCAAGGTCAGACTCAAGGATGACTGTAGCAACCTGGGCAAGCTGCCAACGGTCAGCATCCGCCTGGTGGACAAAGATGCTTTGGTTAAAGCTTAGGGTTTATGGTGTAGGGTTTAGGGTTCAGGGTTTAGGGTTTAGCATCTAGGGTTCTAGGGTGTAGGGTCAGGGTTTAGGGTTTACGAGAACTTTCTATGGGTAGTTTTGTCAAAATCAGCGTCCCGTTTAATGTGCACCTAATTATTAGGTGCCGTATACCATCTACAACGAAAAGAAGCTCATCATTTCGAGAACAGCCCAGACCTTTTGAGGGTTTATACAGGGATATAGGGGGTTATGTAGGGTCATATGGGCTAGAAAGGATTTGGCTACAACTTTTAGCACTTTTTAACCTCAGGGGCTCCTCTATTTCATATTGAGAGAGCGCAAAGTTAGAATTTTATTGGGCCTTAAACCTAAACCCTAAAAAGCCTAAACCCTTAAAGCCTACACCCCAAAACGTTACACCCCAAAACCCTAAAACCTTAAACCCTAAAACCCTTAAAGCCTTCAACCGCAACCGAGGATGGTGTGCTAACAGACTACCCGCTGACACCCCAAGACTACACGCTGAAGTCTTTAGACGAAGTTCCGCAGACGGGAAATGCAGAGTACCTCAAGGAGTTTCCAGTGCTTGGGGGATCTGGTGATACAGTTCCGGAGGTTAGGCCGCGATGTGACCCTGGAATGGGTGTCATGGACGTTCCGGGCGGAAAGTGGGTCATTGGAGATACCTTCCTGAGGCGCTATTACTCCATCTATGACGATGACCGGGGTCTCGTGGGCTTTGCAAAGAGCATCCATCCCGACGAGGCAGCAGGGGAAGCCCCAACCGATGCGGCGGCCGAAAGCAATGCCAAGGCAGCTGACGTTGGGCCTTGTGGGCTTCTGGCTGCTTTTGTGCCATGCGTCCGGCCAAAGGCGCTTGGGCGACGGCAGAGAGTGCAGTCCTTCCTCTGAGGGATCTATATTGATGATTTTCAGGGTTTTGGGGTTCAGGTGCTAGCAGCTTGGGCTGTGACTAGCTATATTCATATTCTAAGGGATCCCTAGGCCCTAGACAGGTCCCGCTTGTTTTGCTTTGGTTAGTTGGGTGCTCAGAGGGCGATCGGCAGGCAAATCTGACAAAAAGCGCGCAGCTTGTCAAGCCTTACGCTGCAGCGTTCTACCCAGATGTGGGGCAGTCGTTCGTCAGAAGCCTAGACCCTCTTCTTTCTGCGTTTTTGGATTGCGCGGAGGGCCTCCTCCCGGGAAGCCACTACAGCCGAACTTGAGAACAGAAGGGGCTCGTGCCCTTTCATGACTGTCTGCTTGAAGGGTCATGGGTAGCTGTGAGGTAGTCGTAAGTTGCGGTGTGAAGCACTCTCATTCGGGTTAAGCTAAATGGCTGTAGTTCTCACTTATAGAGCTCCACTTACAGCTGCCCACGACCCTCCAAGTACAGCAACTCCTCAAGGGAATGTTCAAATCTTGCATCGCTGTTCCTGCTGAACATCTTCCAAGCTAACGTGGAGTGTTTGGAAACTGTCGTCCAAATCAGCAACTTCAAATCCCTTAGACCTCAAAGCATTTGGACAATCGTCCCTGCCAGCATTGTACTAAGAACAGCCAAGCGAAATTTGGCATATTCCTCAGTCTTAGGTGCTGCTTCGGGATTATTCATGGCTTTATGGAAATTGCAGGGTTAGTGTCCGATCGAGGATTGCGAGGCTCCACGTGTATCGGGACATTCTACGATGCAGGGTGCGAGACAGGACCCAACCGCGAAGTTTGGCTTTCTACATGCCTCAGGCATGAGATTGAAACATAACCCCTAGAAGAACGCAATTCCCATAACTAGACCCTCAAATACTGGGACGGGTGGTATACAAGCCTCGTGAATTGGGAGGGATCTCGATTTTAGACACTTTCGATGTTGATCTTGACCCATAGAACCTTGAGAATCTTGTGCCATCCCATTATATTGGTACACAATCCCCATTTAGCATGCATGATATCCTGCGCGAATGAATTTTCTTCAGTCGCATACAACTCATTATATGATCTATAGGCTAAGCCGTTTAAAGGGGGTTATATAAGGAATTATATAGGGGACCACCACAGGGGATTTTAAGGGGGATTCTAGGAGTTTAGACCCTAAACGCTAAACCCAGTATTATAGGCGATACTAGGAGTTTAGACTACAACCTCTATAGTCCCCTACATAATCCCAGCTTCCATTTCATTTTGCATTTTCTTTTCCATTTGATTCTCCATTATTGCCTCATATGAAACACCGGCACTCTTTTTGAGGCTCCAAACTCTGCCGGCACATTATCCACGACCTCCTAACCCCGGAAGGAGGCTAAATTGCGAACATGACATCAAACCCCCACAATACAGACCTGTAGGAGCCGAAACCCTAAACCCTGAATACTTTGCCTTGCAGTCCAAAACCTAAACTTCAAACCTTCAGCCCGCTCTGTATACAGCCAGCCTGCTTAGGTAGATAGAATATGGGGCAGATGAGCTACAGTCTAAACTCCTTAAAGGGGGGTTAAATAATGGACCGTAAAGAGGAGCTTTATGAGGTTATTAAGCGGGATACGAGGAGCTTAGAATGCAGCTCATATGGGGATCTTATTATGATATTGGGCAATTCCATATTCTATCTACTTAAAAAGGGGGCTTATGTATCTTAACCCTAAACCCTAAGCCCTACTGTAAACCCTAAACCCTAAACCCCTAAACCGTAACCCCAATGCTTCCGCATGACAGGCTTTCCGGTGGCGGGCATTATTGCAGTGGCAGTAGTCGCGTCGACGCCTCATTTTAGGCTACCAAGTCCTTTGGGTTGCCTTGAACCATTTAGGGTTTAGTGTTTAGGAGGGCCCTGGAACTCTTATTTCCTTACCTAGGTTCTTGGTACAATGAAATTCTAGGGAGTTATGAGACATGGTAATTTTCATTTTGGGTACTGCCCCCACTCATTAACAGCTGGAGAATATTCATAATAGAGTTACATCAAGCGACTAATATGACCCGTCTGATAGACTGTCAATGAGTGGCGGCAGGACACAATTTTTTCTAGGTCTAGGGGGATCACAGCAAGAGGTCTACATTTTGATTGGGGGCTGCCAAGCGGGGCTTGAGGGACTGCATGGACCTGGTGTGCACGAGGCATGTTGTAGTTGGGGCGGTTTAAAGCTTTCTGGCTCAAGATTTTAGAGCTTCAGTTGTTTAAGGTGTAGAGTTTTGGTTTGGAGTTTTAGATTTGAGGGTGCGCGATTTCAAGCGTGATGGCTTTCGGGCTGGAGTTTTCAGGTTGGGCTGCGGGCTCCCTTCTTTTGTTTAGGCCTACATAGGCTTCTCTGTGCAGCTGCATGGAGTGTAGCTGGTTTGATCCCAGGCCGCCCTGCAGGATGTCAAGAATGGGTTCTTGAAAGATGTAATGTGGTACACAATCCTCATGATTGGGTTCCCGTTTACCCCCCTGCACGATCACTGTCCCCACTAGGTCCCCCCTAAGTGATTGCCATAGCAATCCTTAAGTAACCCTTGTTGAGGGGTATAGTCGCCCTGAAGTAGATAGAATATGGGGTATACGGGGACATTATTATAATGTACCCAAAGCCATATTGTATCTACTTAAGGGGGACTATAGTATTGGTCCCTGGACAGATGGTGTGCCTCGTGTTTCCTTGCGAGCTGCAGACGTAACACCTCTCACCATGTTTGGCATAATCCATTTGGGTGGTTGTCAAAAATTATGGTCCCTTTTCGGATCCCTATTATAATACGGCACCTAACATTTAGGGTACCCAAGAAGGGACCATAATTTTGACGACCACCCATTTGAGCTTTAGTCTACACTCCTCAAAATGGATTATGTAGGGGACTACTATAGAGGTTACTAAGGGGCATACTAGGAGTTTAGCGTATAGCTCATTTGAGGAGTAATCTCCAACTTGGGCTCAAGATGCATCTCTACCTTGATTCCAACCGAGTCTTTTCGTCTGGCCGTCTAAGGTTGGGTGCTGCGTTGCTCTTTGCCCGAAGACTCAGATGGGTACTGTGGGGGCTTTAATATTTAAGCATTTGAATAGAGGCGCCGGGTACAGTATACTACAGGGAATGATTATTTGTCATTGTTTAGTCTTATGCATTTCAAGTTTTCGACCCTGTGCAATGCGGCAAACCAAAATACTATACTCAATATTGGGACCCTCAAAATGTTGCCCCTGATTTTGGGAAATCCCCAGGTGATTCCTAGCACCGGTAGCTGTCATGAAGCTTCAGACAGGCCTTGTCTGAACATGACACCTCCATGTCTGGCCCAATTATGAGGTTTAGGGTTCAGGGGTTCAGGGTTTAGGGTTTGGAAGGTTTAGGGTTTAGGGTTCAGTTTTGTGACCCCTCAACCACACGCAGATGTCTCCACAAGATGGATTTGTTGAGGAGATCGGGTTCAGGATATGTCGATTTGGGGTTGTATTGCTGGACTCCTTTGCAAAAATCGGATGTAGACCTTTTGCAGGATCTTATCCTCCCCGAACCTAGGGTTTAGGGTTTAGGGGCCCTGACAAGAGGGCTATATATTGCTGCATAGTAGCTTGGGCAGGGGTTTCGGCCTTGACCTCTATGACCTGACACAACCCTAATGACATTGAGGTCCTGGGGGGTTCATTGGAGGTGAGAACTTGATGTTTGTAAGACGGCTCTTGTTGGAAGTTGCAGCCCACATAGGTATTGCCCAAAACAGCCCCGGCATAGCCCATCATAAGGACCCCCGAAATCCTTCTGTAGCCCCTTCATATCCCCCATGTCCCTTGGGGCCCCCGATTTCGAGAACCCCTAAACCTTTAACCCTCCTATACCTCGCCATTTGGCACTGAACTTATAGGTTTGTGAACCTCCAAGCATACAATCAGGCCAGCAAGTCTCAGCCGCGGAAGGATGGCGCCAAGGAAGAGGACCTCAGGGTTAGGTCGTGGTTTAGGGCTTAGGGCTTAAGGGTATAGGGTCTAGGGATAGGGTTTATTACCATTGCTTTGGGTTTGGGGGGTGGTCATTTTGGTTTATTTTTTTCGAAATTTTGAAACTAAGGAGTTTTTAGAACCCTACGTAATGACAAGTTTATATGGGCTTGATGGTTTAGGGTTCAGTGTTTGGGATTTTAGGGTTTAGGCCTTAGGGTTTGGCAGTAGGGTTTAGTGCTTAAGGCTTACCCCTACCCCTTATGCCGTCCCTATAAAGCCATAAACTTGTTTTGGAATAGGGCCCCCAAACATGCCCTAGATGTTAGGAGGACCCCCCACCCTGTAATAGTGGCTTAATAAGAATATAAGAGGACCCTAATATAATCCCTATTATCCCGTAGAGTCACTATTACTGGGTGGGGGGTCCACCTAACCTAGGCGTGTTGCGCCCGTTTTGGCGTGGTGTTTGGAGCTTTGGGAGGACATCCTAGGGTTCTAGGGTTCCCTGAGGCTCTAACGGGTTCTATGGGGTTCTATAGGGTTTCCTAACGGGTTATATAGGACTATATAGGGGTTCTATAGTTACGTAGGGCGTCAAACAGATCATTTATGGTTTTACCTTTGGTTGCAGGGTGTCACCGGAACTGCAGTGGTTTCTAAGGCTTATATGGGCTCTAATAGGGTTAAACGAGGGTTATTTTGGTTTGCATTTCTCATTATCCGGCGTGTTGGATTTCCAAGCCCGCCTACGCTGGTTTTCCGGGAACGCTTATGTCTTTAGATGGACTTAGCCCCAGACCCCAAACCCCGGTAAGTTTGGAGTTCTGGGATAACATCATTGAGACTACAAAGGCTGTACTGAGCGCCTAGAACCCCAAGCTGGGAGCCCCAAAACCATCACGCAAGAGTGAAACGACATGCAACTATTGGGTTGCTGTTAAGGAACTCGAAACCATATTCATTACTGTATATACCTATTATGGTAATTTAATTTAAGGTCCTTAACAGCAACCCAGACGATGCTAGCACTTAGCCGAGACAGCTAAGAGGAGCTGCCGCCCTGGACCGACATGCTGGACGCCCAGTGGATTAGAGCTTAGGTTCGGGTGTTTAACTTTGGGGTTAAGGGTTGATGATGTTGGCTTTGGGGCTTCGGCCTTGGGGTTTGGTGGTTCGGGATTGGGATTTGGCGCGTAGGGTTTTGCAATGCCAATGCAGGTAAAAGTTTACATGGTCTTGCTTAAGTCACAGTGGGAGTCCCTGGCTTTGAGGTTTAGGGTTGAGAATGCTTTTGGCTCATTATAGTCCCCCTTAAGTAGATAGAATATGGCTTTGGGTATATTATAATAAGATCCCCATATACGCCGTATTCTATCTACTTAAGGGGCCTTATACCCTTAACCCTATATAACCTGAACATTATACCCCATATTCTATCTACTTAAGGGGGACTATATCTTAAACCCTAAGCCCTAAGTAGTAGTTTCCATTTTCTTTTCCATTACCCCAATAGAACCCCTATATTCTATCTACTAAAGGGAGACTCTAAGTTGTAGAGGTGCCTTATCGTGCAAAGTAGAGTGAGCAGCCTTCCCTTCAAATCGAAAGCAACCTCACCCAAGAGTAAGGTAGGGTATAGGGTTTGTGTAAGGTTCAGGTTTTTGATTGAAGGCTCTGCAGGGTGTAAGACTGAGATTTAGAGATGTTTCCGACAGCTGTGCCAGCAAGAGAGCTTCAGGGAACTTTTGCTTGGGGGGTACGTCTGAAGCCAAGCGCCTAGACGCAAAGCACATCTGGGATTTTCGGCGGTTTTTTTTGGCTAGCTTTAGGATGAGATCCCGAACCGGTAGGATATTTAGGGATTAAGGTATGCTTAGGGATTAAGCTATAAGGGATTAGGGTTTTAGGGAGCAAAGTCTATAGGGAATAGGGTTTGGGGTTTAGGGCTTCTTTCACATGATGTCATGGCCAATATTTTTCTACTTCTGGGCCTCGTTCTGGGTATGTGGAATCAACGTATAGAGTGGAGGGCTTGGGTTGGGATTCATGTATGATGCTGAGTTGAGCTGAGTTGCGCTCAATATGCAATCTGTAGCCTGCAGAGGACCACAGACCCCGCAGACGTAAGCCTTTATTGGAAAGCCCCCATGTCAGTCTCATATGGCTCTCCGGGCTCATTTGGGGTAGTCTGAGGGCACGTGGGTGTGTATGAGTTGCTCTTCGGGATCCCGCCAAAAACCTGGTGATCAAGAAAATGACTACAGGCTCCCTTGTGAGGATGACACAGCGTCGATTTCGATACATTCCCATACAGGTTGGATCAGACTTTCATGAAAACTTCCGTGCAATCCTGAATGCCTACCGATACACGCCAAGGTAGTTAGGACACTCATACCATACATAAACATGCACCAGCAGACAATCTGGGGACATCTTGTAAGATCTTTTTTCAGCTCTGATTATATCGCTTCATGTGCTAGCTAGATTCTAGACTAGCAGCCCGCTCGCAAGGGTGCAAGTCACTCGGGACGTGCTCAGTGGACAGCCGTGCTGCGCTCAGAAAGCATCCTTCTCACCAAGAGCCGCTGGTTGAGGTGGTTGTGTCAGCCAGTTTCTGAGCTCCTGACAGGGTATACAATATAGTAGGGTATATATTGGGGTATATATTGGGATAATGGAAAAGAAAATGCAAACTACTATAGTATATTGGGGTTACATTGGGTATATGATCCAGTGCAGAGGCCTTTATGACACGAAATGGTCTGTTCGGGTGCATTGAATTACGCTTGTCAGGCAATGATATTCGAAACTACTCAGGCATGTACATTAAAGCTGTATGGCTTGGGGTCTTAAGGTCGATGAAGCAGCGTTGGCCCGCATTTTGATTGCAAACTCGCAGCTCGATTGTGGGCTTGATTCTAAACCCCAAACCCTAAGATCGCCAGGCTATAAGCCCTTGGAATCAACCCTACGCCCTCGCCAACCTGAAGCCTCAAAGACCAAACATAAAAATTGCAATCTGCAAGCCGCGTCAGTCTATCCCTTAATCTCAGCTGAAACAAGGCTTTTTCCTCATATAGCGATTGTAAGCAGGCGTACGCAACCATGCACAATGAGGAGCCAAAGCAGTGCCTAACATTAACGTGCTAGCATAGACCTCAAAGTTAGATGGGTAGTTTCCAAAATTATGGTCCCATGTTGGTACCCCTACATATCAGGTGCCGTAATATAATCTATAACCAAAAGGGCCCATAATTTTGAGAACAACCCATATAGCTAACTCTTTAGATAGTCTTTTACGTTGCCCGTATAAAGCCACTGCTCTTGATGCAGCCTCCCATGGGCTCTTCGCAACCTTTGAGCGGATGGCACGGCGGAAGCTGCGCAGGTGTAGTGTTTAGGGTTTAGGCTTTAGGGCCTAGATTTAGCGTGTGGGTGTTAGAGTCTGGATTTATGGGTTTGGGTTTCCCTGCTTTTTGGGGTTCATAGCTTCATGGGCAGAATTCAGTGGGCCAGTTAAGTTGCAACCTTAGAGTTTGGTTCCCGGTTGGGTTATTTCTCCTTCCAGTAGCTCTCCTCAGTCACTCATAACCCGAGACGCTCCCCCAGGTATTCGCGGGCTCAAAAGGGTCAGACTAAGCACGATCTGGAATACCCTTTCGCCCCGAATCCTGTGTGGTCTTCAGGTCATGCCCTGGAACGCCAATTTCGTATGTGTGGGGAGGGATGCACATGGCACATGGCTTGTCTCGGTAAAAGAAGACAAGAAAGTCTGATGATTTGAGTATACTAGAATACCGCAATTCCCAAGGCAGGGGGTACTTAGGGTGATGCCGGACTTTTAGTACCAGCCGTACCACTATTTCTTGCCCTGCTTCCAGTTGTCCTCTTCCTGCAGCAGCAAGAGAGCGATGTCTGCATATCTCTGGATTGCCACAGGCAGGGGTCTTCACTCTGTACCCAAAAACACAATAATCCTCAACTGAGGCACTCCTAAACGGTATCATTAAGGTCTGAACATCCAAATGTGTCATTTTCATCAACCTCATCAGCCTCTGCGAGGCTTCTGCTGCCGCCGCTGCTTCTCGATGTCGGCGTCAGGCACCCGGCCTGACGCCGCGTAGAACTGGTTTGTTTAGCGGTTTTCTGGAAGAGTAAGCCTGCAAACCCTGAACTCACAATCTCAAGCCAAACATCAAATCGCCTAACCTAGACACCAACCCAATCCCCGCCGAAAAGAACACAAACTACACCAGCAAACTGAACAATACACACGCATAATGTTTGCTTGAAGATCGACTCATCATGAGCAGCAGCAACAGCAATATACTACTAGCCGGAGCAATGGAAGGAACCACAAAGGCAGCTCTAAGTAGGTGCTTCAATACGAACAATGATTTCTAGTAGCGTGGCTGATAATTGGCGCTGTAAGCAATAATCGTAGCACGTAACGTTGTAGAGGATGGCAAAAAAAGCCTTACTAATGGCTCGTATGGACTATAGCAATACAATCCCTCTATAATCCCTACATACTATATTCCTTTATTCTATACTAACCCCCGTAAGCACCACGGACAGGCTCAGCGCAGGCCGCACAGCCAGCTGTCAGGGGGAGCGCTGGGGCGAGCTCTATGACGCCCTACAGCAGGCCTCCGACAACCAGGAGAGGGTGAAGCGAGGGGGACTTAGACTGGGGTGCAGGGTTTGGGGTTGAAGGTGTAATGTTGGACCCGCTTTAATATGCCCGGCCCCCCCCCCCAAACAATTTTAGGACCCTGAATCAAGAATTGTTTGAGGGGTCTCGGTTTTAGGAATTGGGGCTTCTTAAGCTCTGAGTTATCTGATGGATAGTAATTAACTTTTGTACAAAACTAA